TTTGCAGCTGACTGCTTAACAGTTATACCACTGGGGCACTTTGTGTTGGAACTGTAATGCAACCTATTTCTATTCTATAGTGAGAAAACAGATGTTAAGCAGAATTTAGTGACCTAGCTGCTGCCTTCTGAGTTAGAATAAAAACCCAGGACTCTTGATCCCTAGTCCTGCTTTTTTATTCCCTAAGGAGTAAACCATTTGAAATCACTTTTTTGGTAGCAGTAGAGATTTGAAAAGAATTAACATGTGCGTGGTTAGTGTTGTTAAGCTCAACTTATTGTTTATAGAAGAATTAGATAAGCTTGAAGGAAAAAATTACCTATACTGTTACTACTTACAAAACATCATTTAACATTTTGATGTTTATTCTTCCTCTTGTGTGTGCATTTTAATGTGCTCACTGTATGCATGCTGTCTTTTATTTTTGCTTAAATATATCGTGAGGTTTTTTTTTTGTGTGTGTAACTGTTGTTATGTGCCGTCGAGTTGGACCCGACTCATAGCAACCCCTCCTTGTGTTTCCGAGGCAGTATCATTATGGAAGTAGATTGCCCAACCTTCCTTCGGAGGAGTGGCTGGTGGGTTTGAACCGCCAGCCTTTGGGTTAGCAGTCAAGTGCCTTAGGCATTAAGTAAGCTACCACAGAGCTCCTTTGTGTGTAACTATACAACTCTATTTGTAATGCTCATTTAATATTCAATATGTAGATATAAAATTATGTAATTGTCACGTATTTAGTTTCCCTGTTTATTCATTATTATGAACGGTGTTGTAATGTATATTCTTTAGGCTGATTTTATGTGTACATACTTATTTCCTTAAGGTAAATTTCTATTAATCTATTTACAGAACAATGTTGGCATATTTTAAACGGTTTTGATGGTCCCAGATTGCCCTCCACAAAGAGTAGACCAATTTATATTCCTGACAGCAGTGTAGAAGTGTGCCCAGTTCCATTTCACCCTTGCTGACCCCAACTACTTACTGGTTTTAAAATAACCTTTGTCAGTTTGATAAATGATTGTTTCTAACTTGAACTTGTTTGCTTTATTGATAAAGTTTACCTTTATTATTTTTTTTAATTTTTACTAGTCATTAATCTTTCCTGAACTTTGTAAAATTTTCTTTTCATATCTGTTGCTAATTTTTTTTGTTAGTATGTTTTTAATTTTTTTTAGAATGTTTTTGATTTTATATTGAGTTGTTTGAGTTTATGTTTTGTAAATGGTTTTTCCCGTTTCATCCCTTGCCTTTTAATTTTTTATTGCTATTTTTGGTAAATAGAAGATTGCAGGTTTTATTTAAGTTCATAAATCTTTCTCTCTCTGTTTCTCTTTCTTTCTCTTTTATTTGTATTATTTTAAATTGTTTTTTTAAACCATTTCTGTCTGCCCAACAGTGAATACCTACTTTAATTTTGGTTTGAAGCTTTTTGTTTTTTTTTAAATAAGCTCCATATAAATATTTGCTATTACTTAGCTTTTATTTTGTTGTAAGATGTGTGGTAGAAATTTAACTTTTTCACTAAAATAGCTATTGGATGTTCCAACACACAGTTGTAAGCTCCATGAAGGCGTGGATCATACCTGTTTTGTTCACCATGGTATTCCTGGTAGGGACTCAGCTGCTGCTGCTTATTTTTAATTTTTTTTTTTTTTTGTTAAATGTTTAACAAGAAAGAAGTCAATGAAAATACTGATTTATGATAATAATTCTTAGGGCATGCATCAACATCACTTGGGGAGTGTTTTCAAACCTACTGAATCAGCATATAGTCTGTTATACTTTTTTACTACTTTCATTAACGTAGATTAGTTCGTGTGCTCATGGTAGGGAAATGATATTAAAGCATGGATGTCTGGGTGGTTCTTAAACAATTTTTCCCTGCATGTTAATATTCAAATTATGAGCCAGTTGTCTCATAATTAAAGGAAGAACCTTAGCAGCATATAAAGACCTTAAAATTTGAAAATTCTGTAGAAAGTGTCTTCATTTAGTGCAAGTAGCAGCTCGTTTAATGAATTCAAGAACTACTATGCTTTTCACAATGTTCAACTAATGAAGCTGTGAGTGTTAAGAAGAAATTTCAAAGACATTTTCCCTGTACTTTTGTTTTTAAAGATTGATAAAAGAAGGGTATGACCCGAATCTGATTTTTAACTTTTTATTTTGATGAAGCATACTGTTTTTATATAGGAAACAAATGACTTCAAGGAGTTACCACTTAAAGAAATAAGTGTGAATTAATAGGTTTAAGGCTGCCACAGATTAACTGTATGTTGAGTGCACGTGATACTAGAAATTTTACCATTTTAGTAGGATTGTCACAGTTTTTGTTAATGTTCTGCTTACAAAGTTGCAAAGGTTTTAAGTAATATCACAATTCTAGTTTTCCCAGAGGGGGCTCTGGTGTGTAGTGGTTAAGGCATTTGGCTGTTAATCAGAAGGTCAGTGGTTTCAACCCACCAGCCACTCTGTGGAAGAAAGATAGGGTGGTCTGTTTCTGTAAAGATTAACAACCTTGGAAACCCAGCGGGGGTCACTATGAGTCAGAATTAACTTGATGGCAGTGAGTGAGTTTGTTTTCCCACAAGTCCTATTATATTTAATGCACGATATAGTAGTATAGGTGTGCTAGCTGAAATCTATGTGGGTATCTCTTATATACGCTCTTGGTTCAGAACTACTAATTTTTACTTAATTATTATTATTCTTCTTCATTATATTTTAGGGATCTGTAATTCTATGAATTATCATTCTAGCTTAAAGTAAACTAGTACTTTAATTTAAAACTCATCTGTTTTATAGTATTGTTTATATCTTCACCTCAGCTGAACATTAATAGGTCTGTGTGTGTGTTGGGGGCTCTTTGGTTGTGTGGGGAAGAACTTGCAGCAATTCTCTATTGATGTAGAGGTAGAATGGGATATTATATTTGTCATAAAGAGATGTATGTGCTGTAGTGTGGACAGACTTCTTGTTGTTAGGTGCTGTCGAGTTCTCTGAGTCCGAGCGACCCTATGTAAAACAGAATGAAACACTGTCTGGTCTTGTGCCAGCCTTACAATCCTTGCTATACCTGAGTCCATCGTTGCAGCCACTGTGTCAATCCATCTCGTTAAGGGCCTTTCACTCTTTTGTTGACTCTCCACTTTACCAAGCATGATATTCTCTAGTAGGCCATTCTTGCTTCCAAGGAGCATTCTGGCAGCACTTCTTCCAGGACAGATTTGTTTATTCTTTTGGCAGTCCATGGTACTTTCAGCATTCTTTGCCAACACCACAACTCAATATCATCAATTCTTCGGTCTTTCTTATTCATTGTCCAGCTCTCACATGCATATGAGGTATTGAAAATACCATAGCTTAGGTTAGTTACACCTTAGTCTTCAAGGAGACATCTTTGCTCTTTAGCACTTTAAAGAGGTCTTTTGCAGCACATTTTCCCAGTGCAATATGTTGTGTGATGTCTTGTCTGCTGCTTCCATGGGTGTTGATTGTGGAACCAAGTAGTATGAGATCTTTAACTACTTCATTCTTTTCCCCATTTATCACAATGCTGCTTATTGGTCTAGTTGTGAGGATTTTCATTTTCTTTATGTTGAGATGTAATCCATACTGCAGACTGAAGTCTTTAATCTTTGTCAGTAAGTGCTTCAAGTCATTTTCACTTTCAGCAAGCAAAGTTGTGTCATCTGCATATCACAGGTTGTTAATGAGTCTTCTCCAATCCTGATGCCACGTTCTTCATTATATAGTCCAGCTTCTCAGATTATTTGTTTAGCATATAGATTGAATAAATATGGTGAAAGGATATGACCCTGGCACACTCTCTTCCTGATTTTAAACCATGCAGTATCCCCTTGTTCTGTTTGAACCACAGCTTCCTGGTCTATGTACAGGTTCCTGATGAGCACAATCAAGTGTTCTGGAATTTCTATTCTTCTCAATATTAAATCCATAATTTGTTATGATCCACACAATCGAATGCTTTTGTATAGTCAATAAAACAGAAGACTTAGTTGCTCTTTACTGAAGGTAGGCCCCGATAGAGGAACAACAAAAGCTGCTCAAGATACTTCTCTTACGTATATACCTCAGTTTTTGTCCTTGGAAAGCTCAAACACTTATCAAGAACTCTTGGTTACTTGGTGGATATTAAGGTCAGTATATACCAAGTTTTACCTGGAACAATACTGTTTCCCAGCTTATATGTTCAGACTTTTTGAAGTATCATTAGAAGGAAATGGCTGAGAAATTGGTATTGTCTTTTGCCATGGTTATACTACATTTCTCCAGAGATTCTCTCCAGTCTCAGTGTTGTTACAGAAAAGATTGGTCAGACACCTAGCTGCCTCACTGTTTATCTTTTAGCATCTCAAAATAATGAATGATGTGAACAAACTATAACAGTGATATAAATACCAATGACCTTTGTGTATGTACCTATGAAAATTGTTATTAAAGTACTGCCATCTAGAGAAATTTGTGGAGGCCCTTACAGAGAAATAAAGGAGCTCTGCTACCACAGTGGTTAAACTCTTGGATGCTAACTGAAAAATGTTATGTGCCGTCGAGTCGGCCCCGACTCATAGTGACCCCTCCTTGGGTTTCCGAGGCAGTATCACTACGGAAGTAGGATTGCCCAACCTTCCTTCCGAGGAGTGGCTGGTGGGTTTGAACCGCCAGCCGTCTGGTTAGCAGGCAAGTGTCTTAGCCAAATAGGTGCTGTAAATGCACCAGTTGCTCCATGGGAGCAAAAGACCTGACAATCTGCTCCTATAAAGATTACAGCCTTGAAACCCTATGGGGCAGTTCTGTTCTGTTCTGTAGGGTTGCTATAACTTGGAATCAGCTTGACAATACAATACCAACATATAGAGAAATAGCACATGTTTTTACTATGATTTAAAATTCACTTTTTAATTTAAGAGAATCTTGATTCTAACATTGATTATTAGTGAAGAATAAATTGTTGTTCTTGATTTTCTTTTCTCAAGGATCCTGCGTTTGGAGGCAAACATGAAGCTCCATCCTCTCCACTCCCTGGGCAACCATGTGGAGATGATCAAAATGCTTCACCTTCCAAACTTTCAAAGGAAGAGTTAATACAGAGTATGGACCGTGTAGATCGAGAAATTGCAAAAGTAGAGCAACAGATCCTTAAACTGAAAAAGAAGCAAGTAAGTGTTTTTATTGCTTAAGTATTCTAAGAATGCATAAATTGTCTTCCTAATTAATATCATGTTTAATTTTCCATATTTTAAAACTTTATGTAAAGGAAGTCGTGCCTTATACAACTCATAACTTTTTTTTCCTACTTTTAGATTCCTTAGTTTCATCCATTCATTTCCACTGTGGTATTGTCTGATACTGCAGTGAAAACCCAAGGAGGGGTCGCTATGAGTCAAAGACGACTCAGTGGCACATAACAACAACAACAAGATTATAGATAGCAAATTTTGTTATCTATAACATATATCAATACTTCATTTCTTTTTATGAATGATAATATTCTATTTTTTGTATATACCGCATTTTGCTTATCCATTCATCTTTTGATGGAAACTTGGGTTGTTTCCATCTTGTGTATATTGTAATTAACACTGGTGTACATAAGTATCTATTCTAGTCCCTGTTTGCAAGTGTTCTAGGTTTATACCTGGGAGTGGATTTGCTGTGTTGTATAATTGTTCAGTGTTTACCTTTTTGAGTTCTCCAGACTATTTTCCACAGTGGATGAATTATTTTATATTCCTACCAGAAATGGATGTTTTTCCACATCTTTTTCGACACTTGTTATTTTTCGTGTTTTGAGATAGCCATTCTAGTGGGTGTGAAGTGGTATCTCATTGTGGTTTAGAATTGCATTTCCCTAAGGCTAATGATGTTGAGTATGATCTTTTCATACCTATCAGCCTTTTTAGGAACTCTAGTGGTGCAGTGCCTAAGACATTTGACTGCTAACTAGAAGGTTGGTGGTTCAAACCGACCACCAGCTCTTTTGAAGAGAAATGGCTCAATCTACTTCCATAAAGATTTACTACCTTGGAAACCTAATGGGGATAACTGAGTCAGAATAGACTTAATGGTGGTGGGTTTGTTTTGTTATCAGCCTTTAATCTTTGTTGAAGAAGTTTATTCAGCTCTTTTGCCCATTTTTTCATTGCATTCTTTTTGTTTTTTGAGTTAAAAGAGTTTTTTCTTTTCCTTTCATATATTCTAGATATTAATCCTTTATCAGATATATGTTTCCAAAATACTTGTTCCTATTCTGCAACTTGTGTCTTTGTTGGTAAAGTCCTTTGATGCACTAAAGTTTTAAATTTTGACGAGGTAATTTTTATCTATTTCTTTGTTTGTTGCTTGTGCTTTTGGTATCATATCTTAGAATCTATTTATCAAAAACAAAGTCTTGACAATTAATAGATACAGAGAGAGAGATCATTGGCCATTGGTGTTTACCAGGGAGAGGAGGGGATGGAAAAAAGTACGCTTTAGGTCATAGAGATTTTTTTATTTTTGGTGATTGGAAAAATGGTACTGAATGTGGATGTAATGACCTTAGCACAAGCAACATAAAGACAAGTGTTCCAGCACATTGGATGGGTATGACATATAGGTATGTTGGTAGGTACAAGTGTATACATAGGAAAGAATAGATAGAAGTATCTGTTAAAAACAAACAAACAAAACAGAACCACCACGCCTATTGCCATCAAGTTGATTCTGACTCATACAACCTTATAGGACAGGGTAGAACTGCTCCATAGGTTTTTTAAGGCTGAAAATCTAAATGTAAGCAGGGTGCTTCATCTTTCTCCCAGGAAGTAGCTGGTAGATTTGAACCACTTGCCTTTTGGTTAGCAGCCCAGTGCTTTAACCACTGCACAACCATATTCCTTTAGAAATATCTGTACAACACCAAAAGCCACATCGACTGCCTTTGAGTTGATTCTGACTCATGGAGACCCCCATAAGGATTCTAGTGCTGTAAATCTTCACGGAAGCAGACTACCTTGTCTTTCTCCTGCAGAGCAGCTGGTGGTTTCAAACCACTGACTTTTTGGTTAGCAGCCCATTTGCTTTACCATAGTGACAGCAGAGTACCTTAGAAGTAGCTGTAAGTCCGTGTATATTCAAACATGTCGATGCAGGCACATATATTCATTGAAGACACAAATATGAATACTCCTCAGACATAACCAAATGCCTTCCAAGATTGATTTTCTGGGTTTGGAAGCTTAGGACCATGGTCTCATGGAACAGCTCAGTTAATTGGCATACCATACTTCACCAAAAGAAATCATGTTCTGCATCCTAGTTAATTGAATATCTGAGGTCTTAAAAGCATGGTAGAAGCCATTTGGATATAACTACTGTTTTCTGCTTGCCAATAACAAAAGAGTAAGAAGGTAACCAAAAGCTCAGAGAAGAAACAAGTCTACATGGGTCATGACCACATCTGCCCTGAGACCAGAAGAACCAGATAGTGCCCAGCTACTACCACTGACTGATCATAATAGATGGTCCCAGAAGAATAGGAGAAAAATGGGTAGCAGAACTGAAATTCTTTAATAAAAACAAACAAAACCAGACAGACTGGAATAGTAGAGAACAGATAACTCCCTGAAATTTTTGCCCTGAGCTACTCTTTAAACCTCAAACTGTGCCTGTCCCTTGAGATTACCTTTTAGTGAAATAGCAGACAAAATAAAGGATATTACTTGTCAACTCTGTGCTCTACTTAACCACCTGTATGAGACCATCTTAGGAGCCCTGGTTATGTGGTGGTTAATGCACTTGGCTGCTAACCAAAAGGTGGGGGGTTGAAACCCACCAGCTGCTCTGTGGGAGATAGATGTGGCAATTTGCTTCCATAAAGATTGCAGCCTTGGACCCCATAGGGCAGTTCTGCTCTGCCCTATACAGTCACTATGAGTAGGAAATGGCTCAGTGGCAATGAGTTGGATGTTTTGTTCTTGTTTTATGAAACCAAAAGGCCAATACTTACTCAGAAGCAAATATAAAAGATAAGAGGGCGAGGAAACTAGACTACTAGAAATGAAGCAAGCAGAACACAAAGGCAGTGTTGACATATTCTAATAAATGCAACTAATGTTACTGAACAAATTATCAAATGGGAACCTAATTTGTTGTATAAATGTTCACCAAAAATAGAATGTTTTAAAAACAAACAAGGTAATGTAGTGCCTAAGGCATTTGACTGCTAACCAGAAGGCTGGTGGTTCAAACCTACCATCCCCTCCTTGGAAGGAAGGTTGGGCAATCCACTTCTGTAGAGATACCACTTTGGAAATACAAAGGACGGGTTGCTATGAGTTGAATCCAACTCGACAGCAGTGAGTTTGATTTTTGGTTTTTCTTCTAAGGATTTCACAGTTTTAATTCTCACATTTAGTCCATTTTGAGTTAATTTTCATGTATACTGTGGCGTATGGGTTCAACTTCATTCTTTTGCGTGTGGAGATCCAGCTTTGTGAGCACAGTTTGTTGAAGAGACTATGTTGAGCAAATAATCTGAGAGGTTGGATGATATGAAGAAGAACACAGCATCAGGATTGGAAGAAGACTTATTAACAACCTGATACATGCAGATGGCATAATCTTGCTTGCTGAAAGTGAAGAAGACTTTAAGTACTTACTGATGAAGATAAAAGACTGTGGCCTTCAGTATTCATTATACCTTAACATAAAACAAAAATCCTCACAAATGGACCAGTAAGCAACATCATGATAAACAGAGAAAAGGTTGAAGTTGTCAAAGATACCATTTTACTTGGATCCATAATCAACACCCATGAAATCAGTTAAGAAATAAAACAATATATTGCACTGGGCTATAAAAGACTCCTTTAAAGTGTTAAAAAATAAAAGTTGTCACTTTGACAAATATTGTATTAGTCCGGTATTGTAAAAGTTAAGGAAAGGTTTATATATTGGAGGACATTTTCTTTGTTGGTTACCAGGGGTGGGAGGGAAGTGGAGGGAATGCTGTTAGATAGATAGAGATAAATATTGATTTGGGTGAAGAGAAGGGCAATGTACCAAATGTGAGTGACCAATATGGCAGCATTGAGGATGAGAAAGACAGAGAGAGTTACATGGGCAGTACAGACAACAACTATGAACCCCTTTGCATATACAGTACTGAGTTGTCAGTGAAAGCAAACATGGGTATAGGGACAGATAGATGGGTGAACAAGCTAAACAATTAGGTATGTCTAAATGGAGAGTGTATCCAAGATCATATACAGGGTTGGCAGACAATGGGCCTATAAGTTCATGTGAATGATCAGAATTCCCAGGTGTATAGTAGAGCTGACAAGGGGCAAGGTTATGGTCATTACTTGGTCACAGCCAGCTACCCAGAGGGACCGAGTAGTTGATCCTGCGGGCTTGGGACCATAGTCGCAGGGGACATCAAGCTCAATTGGCATAACATACTATACAAAACATTGTTCCCCCTACTACTTTGGCGAGTAGCGACTGGGACCTTAAAAGCTAGGAAGCTGCCATCTAGATGCAACAATGGGTCTCTCCTTGTCAAGAAGAAAGAAGAAAACCAAAATTAATGGAAACAATCAGTCCTAGCGACTGGTACACCATCCGATCTGCAACCTATACAACTATGAGACCAGAAGAACTAGATGGTGCCCAGCTACCACTGCCATCCACTTGGAAGGGATGTAGGAGATCCTGCATAAAGAGGGAGAACAATGTGGTACAAAACTCAAAATCATTTGGAGGCAACAAAAAAAAAAGAAGAAGGTGGGGACCAGGTTTGCTGGTCCAATGGAGCCTGGTGTAACCACTGAGACTATGGCCCCTAGCTGCCCTTCAGGTCTGGAATTGAACCCACAACTGTGGTTTCCAGCCAAACAAAGTATAGGCATGTGAGTTAAACATTTACCTCAAGTAGACACACGCCCTGGAGAGAACAATCATGGGAGAAGGAAGGGCTGCTTATGCACAGGGAGATAGCTCAGGGTGCAGAAGAGTATGAAGGGATGGACACTGGGAGGAGGTAACTATGTGGAAGAAGTGGGAGGGGAGCTGCTGCATTGTAAATTTTGGTCAATGACATGAGACAAAGTATATGTGAACTGCTGTATGAAAAGTGAATTTACTCTGTAAATCTTCACCCAAATCCTAAAAAAATTAAAAAAAAAAAATAAAAAAAAAAAGTTGTCACTTTGATATGAATGTTGTACCTGACCCAAGCCATGCTATTTTCAGTTAGCTCATATTCATATGAAAGCTGTATAATGAATAAGGAAAACATAAGAGTTGATGTCTTTGAATTACATATTGATGAAGAATATTGAATATACCATGGACTTCTAGGAGAATGAACAAATCTGCCTTGAGAAAATACAACCAGAATGCTCTTTAGCAGCAAGGATAACAAGACTTGGTTGCTCATGCTTTGGATATGTTATCAGGAGGGACCAATCATGGAGATAGACATCATGCTTGGTAGAGAGTCAGGAAAAAAGAGGAAGACCCTCAACGAGATGTACTGTCATAGTGGCAGCACCAGTGTGCTCAGACATAGCAAAGATTGTGAGTTACTGCAAGATTGAACAGTGATTTGTTCTGTTTTGTGTTCTGGTCACTATGAATTGGAACTGACTTGGTGGCACCTAAGAACAGCAACAATATGAGCACTGCTGGTGCATTGGTTAAACACTGTGCTACTGAATGAAAGGTTGGCAATTTGAACTCCCTCCATCAGCTCTGTGAGAGAAAAGATGTGGTGATCTACTCCTATAAAGAGTATAGCCTAGGAAACCCTGAGCAGTTCTGCTTAGTCACAAAGGGACCCTATCTATCTATCTATCTATCTATAGAGAGAGAGAGATAGATAAATTTGCATTCTTTAGTTACTAGTGAAAGTAAGTCTAATTGGTTTTCTTAAAGCCCCTGGTCCATTAGATCCTATTAGATTAAATGGTTACCTTGTGGAATCAGAAAGACATTTCTCAGTGACTTGTGTTATCTGTGGCAGTTAATTATTTGTGGAGGTGACACGTGGTGCTTGCCTGACTCTTGCCTTCTGGGTCTCTTAGCAACAGCTCGAAGAAGAAGCAGCTAAACCTCCTGAGCCCGAGAAGCCTGTGTCCCCTCCTCCAGTGGAACAGAAACATCGCAGTATTGTCCAAATTATTTATGATGAGAATCGGGTAAGCTCATGCCAGCCTTGAAAGCAAAGGACATTAAACCCACTTTATTTTGACTTTTTTAAGTCCTGAATAAGTTTGGTCATAAATTAATTGTATGAAAACTTCAATTTATGTTTTAATGTTCTTAAACTTTGGTTGACTGAAACTTGGTGCTTTTTCCTTACAGATTGAAAGAAAGTTGACAGTTCTCTCGTAAATGATTGGATATTTCATTTTTAATGGTTATAATGTATAGTTATTTTTTCATGAGAGTAGAATTTTTTCATCAGAATCTCTTTCCTATCATATAAATACTGGCAAACAAGATTAGGTAGCACGTAATACTGAACAGCCATTTGCTGGTTTTTCACTTTATAAATGTATGTAATGCCAAATACTGGTAATATTCCAGTTGCTATAGGTTACTGGGTATGAAAATTTCATTATCAGCTTCAGAAGTGATAGCTGGACTTTCAGAGAAACTGTGGTTTGAACCTTAGTTATAAAGTATGAGGTCATTGGTGTTTTGGTAGCTAGATAGCCTTTACAGTTTTTGGTTTATTAAAGTGACTTCTTTTTACTTTTAATTAAAAATGTTCTTGCATTTAGAAAAGCTAGGCCTTCATTCTGTGAATACATTTGTAATGTTAAAGTTAGTTTAGGGGCAGGGGCAGAACTTGGCTCAGGAACTAGCAGTTAAAGGGAAACCAATTTCACCCTGATATATAAAGAAAACTTTATAGCAGAGCTGCCTAATAGTGGATTGGTTTGCCATGTGAAATGTGTACTCCTAATCACCAGAAATATTTATTATTCATTTCTGATCATTTTAACAATGTCCTTTTCCATTTATAAGATTCTTAGTCTTCTGATTAGAACTGCTATTTGTTCTTTTTTGTGTGTGTGTGCTTTGACTGTAGATTTATAAAGCAAACTTGTTTCACATTCAACAGTTAGAACTGCTGTTTGTTCTATTATGAGTTTCCATAAGTACCCAACCCAGAAAATAATAATATGCTTTAAGTACTAGAAGGTGCTCTGTTGGCACAGTGGTTAAAAGCACTCAGCTGCTAACCAAAAGGTCAGTAGTTTGAAACTATCAGCCATTCAGCGAAAGAAAATGAGGCAGTCTACTACTGAAAATACGTACAGCCTTGGAAACCCTGTGGAACAGTTCTACTCTATCCTATAGGGTTGCTGTGTGTTGTAATCAACTCAATGGCAATAGTGCTTTTGCTTGTAGGTTTGTTAGCTAATTGCAGTCACAAGGTAAAAGTTGGGATGGTTTTTTCGGTTTACTGTTGTTGCATTGTAGTGAATAGATTTATCAGAATCTGTATATCTTATGTAAGCCCTGGTGACGGAGCAATTAAAGCTCTCATCTGCTTACCAAAAAGGTCAGTGGTTTGAACACACTAGCTGCTCTGAGGGAGAAAGATGTGGCAGTTCACTTCCATAAAGATTTACAACCTTGGAAAGCATATGAAGCACTTCTACTCTGTCCTATATAGGGTAACAATGAGTCAGAATTCACTTGATGGTAGTGTTCCCCCCCCCCTTGGTATATCTTAAACTATATAAACTTTATGATAGCCCAGATATTATCAGAATTTGTCCTAAGGAAAAGCAACTGTGAGTTAGTAATTAAATAAATATTTTGAGGAATAATCTGAGATTTAGAGAGAGAGATTTATGTATATGTGTTTATATACATAGATAAATTCATCATTGGATACATAGGTTAATAGGCAACATGAAGACGTATGTAATAAAATTATTGCCAAACTTAAATTTTTGAGCCTGCAAAGATGTAAATATCAGCCTTTAAAATCAACCCTGAAAAAATTCCTTTTCACAGTAGGATACTAGTAAATATTTTCTGTGATGTGATTTTACTCCCTTGTCTAACATGATAATATTTGTGCTTTATTCTTTTTAGCCTGCCTTTTCATGGCGTAGAATCTAATATGTTGTTGTGTGCAGTGGTGTCGATCCTGATGCATAGCAACCCTATATATAGCATGGCTTTTGAAAAAGTATAGTTAAAAACTGGTGAATGTTTGTATGATTTCCCATTCATTGTCTAACGAGAGAATATGCTAGATATTTCCAAATGTATTGCCTATGATTATAATGTTATTTGTTACCTAAAGCTAATAAATTTGAGTTTTGTGATAATAACAATGTGGCTTCTAGAGATTCTACGAGAAAACTGAACTCACTGCCATCTAGTGGATTCTGACTCACAACTAACTCCTTTGGGTTTCTGAGGTAGTAAATCTTTACAGAAGTAGATTGCCCTGTCGTCCTTCCACAGAGTGGCTGGTGGGTTTGAACAACCAAGCCCTCTCTGGTTAGCAGTCAGATGTCTTAGGCAGTACACCACCAGAACTCTTTTAATAGTTAATTCTCAACTGGAGACCTTATTGTCATAACTGAGGAGTGAAGAGGTATTCTACAGGCATCTAATGGTTAGAGGCCGGAAATACTGTTAAATATCCTACAATGCACATGAAAGCGCCCTACGAGAAAGAAGTATCGTACAAAATACTAATAGTACCAGGATTTATAAATCCTCATTTACAGCTATCTATATAAATAGGATTTGATACCCAAATTCATTTATTTTTCATATTTTTTTATTTAAATTTTTTGAATGTTTATTCTTGTGGTAGTTAAGTTTGTGTGTCAGCTTGGCTAGGCCTGATTGAGTGGCTGGGCAGCTGGATGTAGTATTCCCCATGATGAGACTGGTAATTAACTCCATGGTGGAATCTATTGGAGCAACTGAGTAGCTGCTTTGGGTATGTGGTCTGCTTCCCGTATATAAGAAACAGCTTTGGGAAGGCTCTCCAGCTTATGGCACATTTGAACCCTGCATGTAACCATGTGGTTGCTCAGCAGCCTGCCATGCTATGCTGACCTTGGGACTTTCAATGGACATGAATGAATGGCCTGACATGTGGTTTGGTAACATTGGAACTGTGTCTTTTTACTTGTCAACCATGGGCTTGACAGCCTCAGCAGCCAGCAGCTGTTTGAGAGAGGAAAAGCCTGTAGCTTCATTGGGCCAGGAGC